ACGTCACTGGGAGAAGTATGTTGTGATCGTGAGCCCTGCGACTATGCTGGGATTCTTACCCTCACTTAGAGTGCCAATTGAGGAGAGTCGCGAGTGGTGATACTAGCTTTCCTTACGTCCGTCCAGGTCTTTCCCAAAGGCAGACTGAGGCTGAGCTGTGACCACGTCTCCCCTGTGGGTGCTAACCACTTGTGGTTCCTCGTAAGCCTAGAGAGATCGAAACCGTTAGCCTTGCCTTGTAACGTTTTCCGAGCGTCGCTCATCTTCTGACCCACTCTTTCTTTCATCCGCAAATACGCTGAATGTCAATTTCAAGAAAGTCAATGACTGGGGCCGGCAGGTGGTGAGGTGGTTAAGGGAGCTGGACTCCCACATGACCGACCACAGTTCGAGTCTCAAACGTGGTGGCTTGCTTTCTCACTTTCTCTCTGTCTCTCACTCTCACTTGTCCCTCTCCAGGCAAATTAAAATAAATAAATAAATGAAGTTAAGGAAAATAATTCTTTAAAAAAAAAAAAAAAAGGCAATGTCAGCGGTCTTGTCTGCAATGTGTGTTGTTCCTTAAAGTTGCCGGGACTTGCTTTACTGACTGCGTGCCCGGGGAGATGCCGCGTGACTGCCTAGAGGAGGGGGTGAAGAGGAGTCTCGTCTCTGCCAGAGGACGGAGGTGCAGGAGGGTGGCTGAGGCCGAACCGAGCAGGTGGGGTGTGTGTACACGTATCTGTAAACATCACCGCACTGTTTACAGCTCACTGGCTCTTCATGCGAGGCTCAGCCAGGCCAAACCAGGAGGAATTGTTCCCGTGCTCACAGCCAAGAATAACATCCTGACCAGCAGGGGACAGAGGTCAACTCCAGGCAATAGCTCTTGGGAGCCACGGAACGTTAAGAATCTTGGAGGGACTGAGTTTAGCAGAAGGGAAGGCAAGACGTACTTGGAGGGAGGTGCGTGAGACAGGGGCGTGTTTTACTCGTGAAATACGAAAATCGCTCAGCAGTTGGGTATGTGTGGAGCTACGTCACCTCCTGGTCATTTCAGTTTTCCCCTTATACATGTTCACTGACGTATCTGCTCGTTATTTTTTGCAAAACATTTATTTTTAAAATATATTTATTTATTGCGGCTTTTTTCAAGCCACCGGGTCTGGAACTTGAACCGTCATGTGGACCTTAACCACCGTGCCACCCGCTGGCCCCTGTGTGTTATTATATTTTTTTAAATGTATTTATCTACTTACTTATCAATTTTCCTATAGGGTGCGTGTGCTCACTGGAAGGAGATCACAGAGAGAGAGCACACCCCCCTCCCCAAGGAGGATTTCCACACCACGTGTGCCGTGTGTGTGTGTGTGTGTGTGTGTGTTTGAGAGATTTTTGCTGTAAGGTGTGTGCACTTGCTGGAGAGACAGAGGCAGAAAGGAAATCACCCCACCCCCACCCTGGAGGGTGGATGGCCACATTGGAATCCCTTGTCTTTCATTTATCTCCTGGGATTTTGGTCATGCATGCACATGCAACCAGTGTGAGTTTTGAGCCACTAAATCCAGGACTCGAACTGTGGTTGACCATGTGGGAGTCCAGCTACGTAACTGCTGTGCCATCTACTGACTCCCTGGCATGTGTTTTTCAAAGCATGGGGTCTTGGCCTTGCAGAGCCCCTACTGTAAGTAAGCATCATGCTACCGGCCGGCCCAGTTTCTTTTCTTCTTCCCTGAGACCGGCTTGGAGGAGAGACAAGAACTTCCACAGGGTCTTCTTGCCTGACCCACCCCCAGCCTCGGCCAGCCAGGACCACAGGCCTGGCCCGTACACGGAGACCCGAGTGTCCCTCCATGTGGCCTCGGCACCCTGCAGTGCCGCGTTACCATCTGTTCTCCGGCGTAGTGCATGCTCATCGGAACATCGGGAAAAATATGTTCTGTTATTCTGGTGTTAATACAAGCAAGTTCAGAAAAGCGCAGGAGGGTCCAGCAGGTGGTGTGGTGGTTAAGTGTGCTGGACTCCCATATGGCCGACTACGGATCGAGTCCCAGATCTGGTGGCTTGCTCCCTCTCTTTTTCTCTCTCTCCCTCTTTCTGTCCCTCTCTGGTCAAATAAAAATAAAGTAAATAAATGGACAAATAAAGTTAAATAAAATAATTCTAGGGGCTGGCAGGTGGTGTGGTTAAGGATACTGGACTCCCACGTGGCCGACTGTGGTTCGAGTCCCAGACCTGGCGACTTTCTCTCTCATACTCACTCTATCCCCTTCTGGTCAAATTGAAATAAACAAGTGAATGAATAAATAAAGTTAAATAAAATAATTTTTAAAAAATTCTAAAAAAAGAAAAGCCCAGGAGAGGGCTGTATTTAAAAGGTAATGTGTGGGGCTGGCAGATTAGGGGTGCTGGACTCCCACATGGCTGACCACGGTTCGAGTCCCAGAGCTTGTGGCTTGCTTTCTCGTGCACTCTCTCTCTGTCCTGCTCTGGTCAAATTGAAAATAACAATAATGATAAATAAAGCAAATAACTCATAAATAGATAGATAGTAATGTGTAATTAAAAAGCAAGTTCCATGTGCAAAGTCTCCCGGCGACCTTCCTGGCCGGAGGTTTGCTTCTGGGATCTTGCTGTGGCCTTTTCTCTGTTCCCTTCCGTCTGGCCTCATTCTGATGCTGGCCACTCGCTCCCAGATGCAGCTCCAACTGCCTTCCCGGGAGCGTTCCGAGTGTGCGCTCTTGTCCTCTCTGGGCTCGTTTCTCTGGCCCGGCCTCCCTGGTTCCAGGGCAGTGAGCAGCTGAGAGCTTTCCCTCGTGGCCGGTAGCCGGGGCCCTCCCACGTCCTTTCCCTGGCTTCTGTCATGCCCCTCCGTCTTTGGTGGAAGTTCCATCACCTTGCTGGCAAGGCTCAGGAGCTTGGCGCAGCCTCGGGCCTCTGGGACCCTTCCCTGGTTTATAAAGTGTCCTTGTCCTTTCCTAGAAATTGGGAGTGAACCAGGTGGTTCGAACGGTATTGCAGCCTCTCCCGGGATTCCAGTTTGCTAGTTTAAACAACATGCAGCAATTTGGATTGTATTTGCAGGGAGGATGCAACGTGGAGACTGAAGCAGGTCATTGCTGTTGCCCTGTCTCCTCATGTCTATCTTCTCTATTGTCAAAGAGTGTGTTCTCACTAGAGGGTGTATGGTCACGCTGCAATCCTTTTTCCTGCATTTCTCCATCCTGTCAGGATGTGCGCACACACGCACACACACGCACACGCACGCACACGCACGCGCACACACACACACAGAGCACGTTTTTCAAGCCACTGGGGCCAGAATTCAAACAAGGTAGGTCATGTGGGATCTGTCTTCCTCTGCAAAGCACCTAACCACTGTACTGTGGGGCCAGCCCTCCCCTTCTTCTTTTTTTTTTAGAGAGAGATTTTTGCTATAAGGGCACGTACGCTTGCCAGAGAGACAGAAAGCAAGAAATCGCCCCCCAGAGGGTGTGGCCACGCCGCAGTCCCTTCTCGTCCATCTCCTCTCGGGATCTTGGGCACACACGCATATGCACCTGGTGTGTTTCAAGCCGCCAGGTCCAGGACTTGAGCTGCGGTCAGACCACGTGGGAGTCCAGCAGCATAACCATTATGTCATCTGCTGGTCCCCTTTCCCTTACTTTTTCATTGAAAAATTAGTGAAAAGAGAATTACCTTGTCTGTGTTCACATGAGAAATTGACTTTATACCCTTTGAAGTCTATCTCCTTTTTATATCTTTATACTTTGATAAATACATCTGAAGTGTGGGTTGCTTAGTAATAGGGCAGTGGTTAAAGTGCAGAATTCTTGGGACCAGTAGATGGAGTAATGGTTACATGCTGGACTCCCATGTAGTCAACTGTGGCTCGAGTCCTGGACCTGGAGGCTTAAAACTTACACCAGGCACGTGTGTGCATGTCCAAAATCCCAAGAGGAGAAAGGATTACAACATGGCCATCCCCTTGGGAGGGGTGGTCTCTCACTTTCTGCCTCTTTGGTGAGCGTATGCACCCTATAGCAAAATTCTCTTTTAAAAGGGGGGGGGCAGCAGGCGGCATGGTGGGGGCGCTGTGCTCCCTCGTGGCCGACCACGGTTCGAGTCCTGGACTTGGCGGCTTGCTTCCTCACTTTCTCTCTCTCTCTGCTAAGAAAAATAAAGTTGAGAATTCTCAGCAGGCCCCCCTTCCTGTGGCAGCAGCTAGCTGCGAGACGTTTCTGGATGGAAGAGACAATAGCTGTGTAGAAAACTTGGAGCATTTCAACATGTAGGCACACAGAATCTCAGTTTAAAATCATTCCAGAATGAAGGAGCAGAAGGGATGGCATGGCGAGAGTAGAAGTAGACTACAGTGTGAGGAAAACTAGGGCAGGAAAGCATACGAGAACACGGGTCAGTAGGGAGAGGTGAGAACAGTTCTCAAAATAGGCATCGCGCCAGTGTGGGGTCAGACAGTGACAACGGGAACTTCCCACCCCTCCCCAGCCCTGCCAGGACAGAGGAGCTGTTAGTGCCCGTTCGGGGCCGCCGCAGCAGGAGGAGGTCCTGTGGGGTCAGTCCACAGGGAACAGTTGGCCTTTTGATTTGTCGAATTCTTGAATAGTTTTGCTGCTCTCAAATAGCTCTTTTCCTTCCCAAGCCAGAGCCGTTTCCCTGCGGTTCTGATGGCTCCTGTCTGATCCGGCTCGCGGGGACTCCTGCGCCGCCCTGTGCGTCCCACAGCCCCCTCCTCAGGGCCCAGGGCCCAGCCCCCTCAGTCCTCAAGGCCCAGCCACACTGAAAACAAAAAACGCCTTCTGCTAGAGGCTTAGCTTTGGGGCCAGTGATGTGCATCTTGCATGGGAGCCCTGGGCTGCTGCTTCAGGCGCCCCTGTGCTGCATCCTCTGGGGGAGAGGGGCTCCTGGGGAGGTGGCTACATCACAGTTTCCCCGTTCCCGTCTCAGGATTTGGGCCGTGCGCCCAGCGTATTTTCAAGTCCCGATTTTTGGACTCCAACCCTACGCTTGTCTGTATGGGCTCCAGCCGCCCTAACCACCATCCCACCTGGCCAGCCCCACTTCTGGCCTTTGCTGTCCCAGCAGACGTTGGGTTCGACCTGTCTGGGTTGGGGGAAGGACGGCAGCTCTCACTTGCCTGCCTGTCTCGGTGCCCTACGCCAGCCCTGCTCTTAACTAATGGCTCTCCTCTCCTCCTCCGACAGGCCACCCAGCAGTTCCTCGAGGAGGTCAACAAGTGGACGGTGCAGCACAACGTCTCCCCCCTCTCGTGGAACGTGGCCGTCAAGTTCCTCATGGCCAGGAAGTTCGACGTGCTCCGCGCCATGGAGCTGTTCCACTCCTACCGGGTACGTGGCCGGAGGGTGAGGCCCGGGCCCGGCCTGCGTGTCGCCCTGCTCCCTCCTGCACTCTGCACACTCGGCTTTCTTTTCTTTCAAGACAGGTTTTTTGCTGTAGGGTACGTGTGCTCGCTGGAGACACAGAGAGACAGAAAGCGAGAAATCACCCCTGGGGGTGGCCTCGCCGCAGTCCCTCCTCCGTTTTCCTCTGGGATCGTGGGCACACACGCACACATGACTGGTGTGAATTTTAGGTCGCTGGGTCCAGGACTCAAACCACAGTCGACTACGTGGGAGTCCAGCAACGGAACCATTATGCCACCTGCTGGTCCCTACGTGTTTTCTAAGTGTCCTCTTCCACGCCAGTGAAAAATGGTCTGATACCCAAGCACCCTTGTGAGGACCGGGGATGGGCCTGGCCGCTCTGGCCACACGGGGGTGCCTGGGTCCGTGTTGTAGGCAGGAGGCCACGCCTGAAGATAGAGATGGAGTGGCCGGCACCATCCTGTGGCCGGGTTGGAGTCCCCCTCCTGAGGTTCGAGTCCCAGTTCTTCTTACTGGTCTCTGACAACACACTCCCTTTACTCCATTGGTTTTCAGGGTCTCGGGATTTTTATAAGATTATTTATTTATTTGTTGTTATTATTGTTATTATTTTAATTTGACTACAGAGACGCAGAGAGAAAGGAAAGGGAAAGTGAGAAAGCAAGCCACCGGGTCTGGGACTCAAACAGCGGTGTCCCTGTGGGAGTGGGGTGCCTCAACCACCACACCACCGGCCAGCCCCAGGACCCCAAGCGTGTAAGAACGCACTGTTCAGACCCTTCTGAGTGCAGTGGGCTGTGCAGGACGGAGGCCTTTACCTGGAGGAGGAGCGCACCAGAGTCCGCTGGCTCGCGACCGTGACGTTAATGGACATGGTGCCTCAGCGCTTTGCTTTTTCTTGGAAAAGATGACTTCTTTTCCTTTTTTTAATAATTATTTAATTTTTATTTATCTTTTTTTCTTTTCTTTCTTTTTTTAAAGAATTTGACCAGAGAGGGAACCAGCAGTTAGCGTAATGGCTATGTCGCTGGACTCCCACATAGTCGACCGCGGTTCGCGTCCCGGACCCGGTGGCTTAAAACTCACACCGGGCGCGTGTGCGTGCGTCCCAAGAGGAGAATGGAGGAGAAGGGATTGCGGCGTGGCCATCCCCCCTGGGGGGTGATTTCTCGCTTTCTGTCTCTATGTCTCTCCTCTGTCTGTCTGGCGAGCGCACGCGCCCTACAGTGAAAATCTCTCAAAAAAAAAAAAAAAGAATTTGACCAGAGAGAGGAAGTGAGAAAGCAAGCCACCAGGTCCAGGACTTGAACTACAGTCAGCCACACAGAAAAGTCCAGCACCCCAGGGCTGGCAGGTGGTGCGGTGGTTAAGGGTGCTGGACTCCCACGTGGCCTACCTCAGTTCGAGTCCCGGACCTGCCGACCTGCTTTCTTGCTTTCCCTCTCTCTCTACCTCTTTGCCTCTCTGGTCAAATTAAAAATAAATTAATTAATGAAATTTTTTTTAAAAAGAAAAGAAATTCAGCATTGCTGACCCCAGCACTTGGGTTTTTTTCAAAGTTTATTCATGAGGAAGTGTGTGTGTGTGTGTGTGTGTGTGTGTGTGTGTGTATGCACGCTTGCAAGAGAGAGAGGCACCCTTGACAAGGTCCATCACACCACAGTCCCCTTCCTCCAGTGCTGACGCTGGCCAGGAATCTTGGGAGTGCAAGCCTGGTGTGTTTGAGACCTCCTGGGGATCTCAACCCACACTTGGCCTGGCTTCCAGCATTGCAGTTTAGCAGGCCACCACCTGTACCATGGCTGCTGGGCCTTACTTTGTTTTTGATTTTTGGTTTAATGTTTTTTGAGGGGGTATAGATTTTGGTTCTGTGCTTTCAAAATTTTTTTAAACTTTATTTATTTAATTTGATCGGGAGAAAGGGAAAATGAAAAAGCAAGCTGCCATGTCCGGGACTTGAACCGCAGTTAGCCATGTGGGAGTTCAGTGCCCTTAACTAGCACGCCACCTGCTGGCCCCTTGGTTCTGTGCTTAAGTTTGCTTTTTCAGTTAGCTGTGTCCTTTATAAAATACTGCAAAGCATGTTACTTGGGGATTGGAAAATCCTGAAGAGCTACAAAATCTCCCTAAATTTAAAGAAGGGGGAAAAAACCAGGGTAACAGGCATCAAGATTAGCTTTAGACTAAAACTCACTTGTACCTGTCTGTGGGTCGGTTTGCTTTCCAGTATTGTTTAAAAATTTAGTTTGAGGGAACCAGCAGGTGCCGTGATGGCTGAGGCACTGGACACTCCCACGTGGCCGACCACAGTTCGAGTCCCGGACCTTGTGACTTGCTTTCTTACTTTCTCTCTCTCTCATTCTTTTTCTCTCTCAAATTACAATGAATGAATGAATAAAGTTAAATAATTCTTTAAAAGGCTATTCGGTTTGAGTGCTGTAAGTGGGACGTGCCTTCCCCGTCCCCTGTGAGCCCACCGCTGTCTTCATCTTCACCTGCTGCCTTGGCTCTGAAGGCATTCGTATTTGATCTTGGGGTGGGTCGGAGAAGAATATAAACAAAGACCTGGTTTATTATAACGCCACAAAAAACATGGAGAAGGAGTAGCTGAAGAAATAGGAAAACCAAGGAAATACGTGTGTGTGTGTGTACACAGTGTATTTTTTCTTTTTTGAGAGATGTTTGGTATAGGGTGTGTGCACTCGTCAGAGAGACAGAGCAAGAACTCACCCCCCAGGAGATGGCCACGCTGCAATGCTTTCTCTCACATTCCCCTCTCGGAATTTTGGGCATACGTGCACACACACTGGGCGTGAGTGAATTTAAGCCGCTGGGTCCAGGACTCAAACTACGGTTGACTACATGGGAGTCCAGCGATATAACCATTACGCTATTTGCTGGTCCCCATATGCACATGTTTTTGTCATCATGGCATACAAAGGAACAGCGTGCCTTCAGAAATAGGGAGTATGAGTGGTCAGCCTTGTGAATTCCTTTTCTTTCTTTCTTTCTTTCTTTCTTTCTTTCTTTCTTTCTTTCTTTCTTTCTTTCTTTCTTTCTTTCTTTCTTTTTTGCTATCGTGCATATGTGCTTATGGAGGAGGGGGGTGAGTGAGGAATCATCCCCCAGGGAGACAGCCACGTCCCTGTCCCTTCTCCACTCCCCCTGTTGTGATTTTGGGCACACATGTGCACTTAGCATGATTTTCAAACCGCTAGGTCCAGGACTGGGACCATGAAGATCGTCACGTGGGAGCCAGCGCCTTTACCGCCACGCCACCTGCTGGCCCCTCAACCTTGTCATTTAAAAAGGGACTTGACGTGTCCACGGATTCCCAGACATGAACATTCTGGTCGTTGTGGCAGGAAGAGTTTTCAGTGTAGTCTTTAGTTAGGAGGAAACCAGAATGCAGTGGGCTGGGGACAGGGTGAGGGAGCCGGGCGGCGTGAGAGTGAAGGACAGTGACGTCACAGCAGCTGCTGCTGGAGACCATGTCAGGTGGGGAGGCTGCTTCAGACAGGAGGGGCCCGGCCCGGCCTGGCCCGGAGGATGCACGGCTCCTGCAGGCGTTTCATGTCCCGTCAGTGTTCTGGCGACCGCCTGCGTAAGAGCTGCGATCCTGCGCCCTCGTGTTGCATTTTGGTTGGGCCTTCGGGGTCAGGATTCTTCCTGGTTCAGAAAAAACACCTCGTGTATGGGACTGACCGGGCGGCTTTGGGCAGGAATTCTGATCATTCGTGGTTTGGCCAGTGGCTTGTCGTGTCTCTTAGCTCTGCGGGTTGGTGCCTCTGTGGAGCTGTCCTGAACGCACAGTATTTGCACGTTAATTTATCCTGCCGTGCTTCCTTCTTAGGAAACACGGAGGAAGGAGGGCATCGTGAAGCTGAAACCTCATGAGGAACCGCTTCGCTCCGAGATCCTCAGTGGAAAATTCACCATCTTAGTGAGTCCGCACCCCGCTACGCTGCCTCCCTACTTCCCTTCACAGCTGTCCCCTCATCTGGGCTTTCTTCCTGGCCACCTTATCCTGGATCCGGGGAGGCTCCGCACTCAGGGCAGATGGGAAGCAGCCATGCAGTTCGGCACATCTTTCTAGGCATAATTGAACTCTGAGTCATTACTGGAAATTACAGTTACTAAGAACAATCGATCATTGAATTGGCAGGCCCTGTTGCACAGTGGACTTAGAAACTTTCTTCTGGTCTGTTCAGGCCAGCTGAGGCCTTTGGAATGGGCCTGTGGTGTGTCAAAACCATCCTTCCTTGTTTAACTCGCTCTCCGCTTTGTAGAGACCTCAGCCCTTTCGGGGAGGGTGTGGTGGTACTCTGAAGGCACAGCATGGGAGCCACAGTCCTGCTCCAAGGCTCCTCCCTGCTGCTGGCTTTGGTTTTGCTGTCCTGCCTGGGAAATTAGCGGGGAACCATTTTTTGTTGCCTTTGCAGTTGACGAGCAAAGAGGACCTGGGCATTTTCCTTAACACGGGAGTGTATGGGCCCAGGGCTGCTTGGAGGATCAGGCACTGGCTCGTACAAGCGGTCTCCCTTTGGGGAGCAGCAGATGCGTGTCGTGGCATTGCCAGCACCTGTCCTCTCCACGCGTCCCGCCTTGATCCGGGATAAGCCTTGGTGGCCATCACGATGTTCTTCCTCATTGCTAAATGCTCCTGTGTTATTCGCTCTAGAATGTGCGGGATCCAACCGGAGCCTCCATCGCCCTCTTCACCGCCAGGCTGCACCATCCTCACAAGTCAGTCCAGCACGTGGTACTGCAGGCTCTGTTTTACCTGCTCGACAGGGCTGTGGACAGGTGAGCACCGGCAGGCCCCTCACCTGCTCTCTCCAGAGAGAGCAACAGGCTTTGCCTTGATTAATTCAACGAGGCATTGAATGTGCTCTGGGGGGCCAGCAGGTGCCGTGGAGGTTAAGGCGCTGGATCCCATTTGGCCGGCTCCATGGTTTGAGTCCCGGACCCAGCGACTTGAAGATCATGCCGGGTGTGTGTCTGTGTGCCCAAAATCCCAAGAGGAGAATGAAGGAGAAGGGATTGCGGTGTGGCCATCCCCTGTAGGGGGCGATTGTCTCTTTTTTTCTCTTGTTTTTCTCTGCCACATGCACCGTATTGCAAAAACAAAAATCAAACAAAACAAAACAGAACAGAACAAAAACAAGGGCTTAATATGTTTCCAGATCCTTTCAAGATAGTGGCTATTACTGTAGAATAATAGAAGCCAAAAAGCCAGTTGTTAGCAATTCTCAAGTGTGTTGCGAAAAGCTGAAAGGGAGCAAGGGAAGGGTGGTCTGATTCTTTTTGGTTCGTATCAAACCCTCCAAGGTCTTAGTTTCTTTATCTGTAAAATAGAAATAATGCTTTTTTATTTAATAAAAAAAAAAAGGCCAGAGGGTGTGTGCACTCACGAGAGAGAGACGGAGGGGGGGAAAGCACTCCTAAGGGGATGGTCATGCCTAATCCCTTCTCCATCTTTCCCTCCTTTCAGGGTACCGGGCATATGTGCACGCCTGGCCACGTGCGTTTCAAGCCCCTGGTCCAGGACTTGAACTGCACAGTTGGCCAAGTGGAACCCAGCTCCTTAACCATCAGGTCACAGGCTGGCCTGCCCTGTTGTTTTTTGCTTGTTTGTTTTTAGTTTTGAATTTTGCAACTGGGCACATGTGCTTGCCAGGGAGACTGCGTGGGAGGGGCACGGAAACACATGCACTGGCCAGCAACCCTTTTTCCCTGGATTCTCCATCCCATCGAGATGTGGGGCATACATGCTCCCAGCAGGTTTTTCAGGTTGCTTTGCTGGGATTCAGACTCTGGTCATCCACGTGGTATCCCGTTTCCTCTACGTAGCACTTAACCACCACACAGTCGGACGGCTCCAGGGAACCTTCATTTTAACACGCCGTAATGGACAGTCACTAAATCTGCAGGTGGAGAGAGTGTCTGTCATACGTGTCCACTTCCCTGCCCTTCCGCTCCTGCCAAGGGCTCTCAGCCAGTGGTCTCACTGGTGGCCCCCGTGAGCCCATTCCACTGGTTCTTTTGAAACCAGCCTCAGGGACCTTGTCTTGAACTTCTCGGTGTGTCCCGTAGCATGTGGGCCAGGAGTGGAACTCCGTCACTGTCTTAGTCCACTATGACGTTGCTGGCAGAGTTACCTGAGACCTGTCATTCATAAAGAATAGAGATTATTTGGCTTATGATTCTGGTACCTGTGAAACCCAAAGATGTGGGGCTGGTATCAGGCTGCACCGCATTGTGGCTGGCAAGCAGAGAGAATGGTGGAAGGTACAGAGACCTGGAGGCAGCTTTCTTCAGCTCTTTTCTTTCCCTTCCCTTCCCTTCCCTTCCCTTCCCTTTCCTTTCCTTTCCTTTCCTTTCCTTTCTTTTCTTTTCTTTTCTTTTCTTTTCTTTCCTTTCCTTTCCTTTCCTTTCCTTTCCTTTCTTTTCTTTTCTTTTCTTTTCTTTTCTTTTCCTTCCTTCCTTCCTTCCTTCCTTTCATATATATATACTTTTTTTTTTGCAGAGAGAGAGAGAGATTTTTGCCATAGGGCGCTTGTACTCTCCAGAAAGACAGAGAGAGACTGAATGACAGAAAATGAGAAATCACCGTCCGGGGGGGATGGCCACGCCGCAATCCCTTCTCTCAAGATCTTGGGCGCACATGCACACGGTGTGAATTTAAGCTGCTAGGTCCAGGACTCTAACCGTGGTCGACTACATGGGAGTCCAGTGACATAGCTTTTACACCATCTGTTGGTCCCCCTGGCATGAATTTTAAGCCACCTGGCCCAGGACTTGAACTGCAGTTGACTATGTGGGAGTCCAGCAATATGACCATCCACGCCATCTGCTGGTCCCCCGGTGTAAGTTTTAAGTCACTGGATACAGGATTCAAATCATAGTTGGCTCTGTGGGAGTCCAGTGACATAACCATTACGCCATCTACTGGTCCCTCAGTATTTTTTAATCCACCAGCTCCAGGGCTCGAACCACAGAATTGACCATGTGGGATCCAGCACCTTAACCTCCGTGCCACCTGCTGACCCTGCAGGCAGTCATATTTACCCTAGATACGGTCCATACTCTGTTTTTGCCTTAGGGTCGCAACCTGCCTTATCGTCTTTTTACTTAAAACGCTTCTGTTCAATGGTTGGTTTGCAGCTTTGAGACTCAGAGGAATGGGCTGGTGTTCATCTATGACATGTGTGGTTCTAACTATGCCAACTTCGAGCTGGATCTCGGCAAGAAAGTCCTCAACCTGCTGAAGGTAAGGCTGCGGGAGGCCTCTCAGCTCCCTTCAGAGATGCAGACATTGTCTTCTCTCCTGCGGGGAAAGTTAGGGACGATGGGAACTTGAGACATCGTCTTCAGTTCCGAGGCCCTCTGTACATGGCGACTAGTACCTGCTTCTTCAGGAAAAGCAATGGTGGGGCCAGCAGATGGTGTAATGGTCACGTCGCTGGGCTCCCACGTAGTCGATCGCGGTTTGAATACCAGACTGGGCATCTTAAAATTCACACTGGGTACATGTGCATGTGTGCCCCAAATCCTGGGAGAATGGAGGAGAAGGGATTGAGGCGTGGCCTTTCCCCCTCAGGGGTGATTTCTCACTTTCTGTCTCTCTGGAGAGCACACACACCCTATGGCAAAAAAAAAAAAAAAAAAAAAAAAGCGAAGGTGCTGAAAGTGAAGGGGGAGAATTCGAGTGAGAAAGGCACAGGAGCGTTCTGGGTGCTAACACCACCCCCTGCTGGCCCGTTAGTCATGGCCAACCTCTCAGAGCTCAGGAATCACGGCAGCATGAAGCGTGGTGCGGGCATCCGCCTGGCCTTTGTTCTGGGACTTCCTCGGCACACCGTCGGCCGCACCCTCACAAGCGTTTACTTTCTTGTGTAGCTCTGCCATGGCCTTCCTATTTATTTTTTGGAGAGGTTTTTGCTATAGGGTGCATGTGCTCACCAGAAAGACAGAGAGAGACAGCGAGAAATCACCCCCCAGGAGGGATGGCCACACTACAATCTCTTCTGCTCCGTTCTCCTCTCGGGATCTTGGGCACGCACGCACATGCACCTGTGCCTGGTGGTGTGAATTTAAGCCACCAGGTCCGAGACTCAAACTGCGATCGACTACATGGGAGTCCAGCGACATAGCCATTATGGCACCTGCTGTCCCTCCACAGCCCTCCTAAAACGAGGGTTGGTACTGTGTGTTATTTCCGGGGCTTGCTTTTGCCACCCCGTATCACTAACATTCACGCTGAGCCGTGCACTGTGCTTGCTGTATTAACAGGGTCGTTCCTCTTCATTCCTCATCATGGACGAATGTTTTATTATTGCCAGGGACACGTGGATTCACCAGAGAGAGGATAAGAACCCTCAGTGGGGTGCATGGTCACGTGCAATCTCTTCTCCATTTCTCCTTCACAGCAGGATTTTGGACACTCGGACATGTGCATGTAACATGCTTTTCAAGTTGCTGGGGCTGGGATTTGAACCCCGGTCACATCTGTGGGATCTGGCTCCCTGCGCGCAGGGCTTAACTACTAGGCTGTGGGCTGGCCCTCTGAACATCTTCGTACATATCTCCTGGTAAATGGGTGCAAGAGTGTCTCTAGAACAGCATTTCTTAACCTTTTTTAGTATTGCCTATCAAAGCGACCTTTTTAGACACTTGCCCTTCATCTTTTCTCTAATGACATCTTAGTGCTGTAGATACATTCTGTATCGGGACCAGCAGTTGGCGTAATGGCTATGTCGCTGGACTCCCTTGTAGTCAACCATGGTTTGAGTCCCGGACCTGGGAACTTGAGACTTCGTCTTCAATTCCGAGGGCCTCTGTACATGACGGCTAGTACCTGCTTCTTCAGGAAAAGCAGGTGGGGCCAGCAGAGAGTGTAATGGTCACACACAACTTGTGCATTTTTCAAGCCGCGGGGTCCAGGATTTGAACCACTGTCAGTGTTGTCCACGTGGGATCTGGACAGCTGCAGCCCCATCTACGTACTCTCTATACATAAAAAGAAGATTCTTGTTTTTTGTTCCAGCTCCACTCCCAAACCCCAACTAATTTTGCCCGCCGTGATGGCAATATCATTGGTTAGGAGAGCGTGCTCTGCTCTAGAACACGCGCCTGGGAGCGGGTCGCCAGGTCATGAGCGTGTTCCAGAAATGCGCCTGGGAATGGGTTGCCGGGTCGTGAGATCACTCCAGAACACGCACCTGGGAGCAGGTTGCTGGGTCGTGAGGTCGCTCCAGAACACGCACCTGGGAGCGGGTCGCTGAGTCATGAGCATGCTCCAGAACACGCCTGGGAGTGGGTTGCTGAATCGTCAGATCCATGGAGATTCAACTGTACAAAGTAGCTTCGAGGGCCAGCAGGTGGCATGGCGGTTAAGGCAGCTGGATTCCACATGGCTGACAACACAGTTCAAGTCCTGGACCTGGTGGCTTGAAAAACGTGCCTAGAGGAGACTGGGGAGGAAGAGACTGTGGTGTGGCCATCCCTGGGGGCGGGGTGATTTCTCATTTTCCCTCTCTCTCTCTGTCTTTCTCCAGCAAGTGTATGTTATGGCAAAGCTAAAAACGTAAGATAATGTCAGATTGTTTCTGAAGTGGTTGAACCCACTTTGCGTGTGTGAAAATTCCCAATGATCCACACATTCTCCAACACTTTCAAAATCAGACTTTTTCCCAATCAAGAATATAAGCAGTGGTATCTTGTGATATAACTTACATTTCTGTTATTAATAAGATGAAGTAGGGACCAGCAGTTAGCGTAATGGCTGTGTCGCTGGACTCCCACATAGTTGACCGCGGTTCGAGTCCCAGACCCGGTGGCTTAAACTCACACCGGGCACATGTGCATGTGTGCCCAAGATCCCGAGAGGAGAATGGAGAAGGGATTGCGGCGTGACCATCCCCCCGGGAGGGGTGATTTCTCGCTTTCTGTCTCTCTTTGTCTGTCTGGTGAGCGTACGCGCCCTATAGCAAAAACCTCTCCAAAAAAAGAAAAAAAAAAGATGAAGTATTCAGAAATTTATTAGCTATGTATGTTTTCTTCTGTGAAATGCCTGTTTATGGTTTGTTTATTTATGAAGTAGTAGGTTTTTAAAAAATAATTATGTATTTTTCATTTTATTTATTCATTCATTTATTTCAATTTGACCAGAGAGAGACACAGAGAGAGAATGTGAGAAAGCAAGCCACCAGGTCCAGGACTCAAACCATGGTTGGCCTGTGGGAGTGTCCAGTGTCTTAGCCACCATGTCACCTGCTGGCCCCTTAGTAGGAGTTTTTTTTCTTTTAAAGAATTATTTTATTTAACTTTATTTATTTATTTAAATTTGACCAGAGAGGGACAGAATAAGAGAGAGAGGAAAGGAAAGTGAGAAAGCAAGCTGCCAGGCCCGAGACTCAAACTGTAGTCAGCCACACGGGAGTCCAGCGCCCTTAACCACCATGCTACCTGCTGGCCCCTGAATTAGTTAGTTAGTTAGTTAGTTGGTTAGTTAGTTAGTTAGTTAGTTAGTTTTTGCTATAGGGCTCAAGCATTTGCCAGAGAGAGGGAGAGAGAGTGAGGAATCACCCCTCAGAGGGAAATGGGCATGCTTTAATCCCTTCTCTCCCGTTCTCCTCTTGGGATTTAGGGCACGCCTGCACGCAAACATGGAGTGTGTTCTGAGCGGCTGGGTCTGGGACTCGAACTGTGCAGTCAGTCTTATGGGATCCAGCTCCTGTAACAGCCCTACCACGTGCTGGCCCCTGGCATTTTTTTTTTTTTCAAACTACTGGGTCTAGTACTGGAGCTATGCAGTTGGCCATGTGGGGTCCAGCCGCCCTAACCCCCACAGTACTTGGCTGGCCCTAATTTTTCTTTCTTCTTTTCTTTCTTTCTCTTTTCTTTTCTTTTTTAGATTTTTGCTATAGGGCACATATATTCACTAGAAAGACAGAGAGACAGAAAGCAAGAAATCAACCCTGGGGTAATGGCCATGCCGCAGTCCCTTCTCCTCCATTCTCCTCTTAGGATCTTGGGCATGCACGCACACGTGCCTGGCATGAGTTTTAAACTGCTAGGTCCAGGATTTAAACTGTGGTCAACTACATGGAAGTCCAGCAACATAACCTTTACACCATCCACTGGTCCTTTTTTTTTTTTTTTTTTTTAAATCAGAAATTTTTGCTGTAGGGCATGTGAGCTCACCGGAGAGACAGAGAAAGAAAGGGAGAAATCACCTCCTAGGAGCATGGCTGTGCTGCAGTCCCTTCTCCTCTGTCCTCCTCTTGGGATTTCAGCACGCACACACACCTGCTCAGCGTGTTTTAAGGTGCAGATCCAGGACTCCAACCACGTTTGACTCTGTGGGAGTCCAGCAATGTGACCATTATGACTCTGCTCGTCCCAGTTTTTCATTTTAGAAGCAGAACTTTTCTAGGGTTCGTTTGCGTATATTGATGTGTAGGATAACTATTGATAAGAAAGTTAGGATCATTTTGATCCATAAAGCTTATGATTGAGGTAAACTGAATATCCTTGGTTTTAAAGATAAATCAGCTTCTTATTCCTTTATCGTAATTATTTTAGACAGGATCTTGCCATGTCATGATCCTCCTGCTTCAGGCTCCTGAGGATCTGGGACTCCAGACACACACCACCACCCGTACCTTCTTGGATGGCCTGCGAGTCAGTCCCAGGCCTCCTATGTGGTGTGGCCTGTCCAGCAGTGGCGTCAGGAAGCCAGTGCTAAGGAGGCCGGGCGTCTTTATTTCTGTTAATCATTTCTCTAGCTCAGGCGAAACCGGAATTAGGCTGTAGACTCCCCCTGCTGGATATGAATGGGGAGAAGAGCAAAAAAGCTAGGTTTGGGCTTGCATAGGCACGGCTCCCATGAGGCCTGAACTTGTGCATTTTCTCCACAGGGAGCATTTCCAGCTCGTCTGAAGAAGGTGCTGATCGTGGGAGCACCCATATGGTTCCGAGTGCCCTATTCTATCATCAGCCTCCTCCTGAAGGACAAAGTCCGAGAGCGGGTAAGGCCGGCCGGTGTTCTCTTCTTCAGAGGTGCAGAGACGCGTTCCCGTCTCTCCTGGTGAAAGCCCGCCGGTTACTGGTCCATCTTCAGAGACTCCTTCCAGGGCTCTTCCTGCTGCTGGTGTGTTTACTCCCTTCTCTGTTCCGTCAGCTTGGTACAAACTGGCTTGCTTTTCCTTATTAATTTTTAAAGGGAGATTTTTGTTCTTAGGGTGCATGCACTCACCTAAGAGACAGAGAAAAAGCGAGAAATCACCACCACCCCTCCGGGTTCGTCATACCACAATCCCTTCTCCTCCATTCTCCACTTGGGATTTGGGGCACTCACGCACACACACCTGGCATGAGTATCAAACCACTGAGTCCAGGACGCAAACCACAGTTGGCCACATGGGCATCCAGCGTTTTAACCACTACGTCACCTGCTGGCCCCAGAATGGCTCTTGCTGTCCCACGAGCTCCTTGAAGTGAGGAACTAGACGTGGTTTTTCTGCTCGCTCTCCAAAGAAGCTTGGATAAGGTAGGACTTATGGGAGGGATGTGTCCTGGAGAGGAAGGGAGGTGCCGCTCCCTGGTATAGCAGGTGCCGCTCGGCCCGGGCTCCGGAACAACCCTAACATAGTTCCAGTCGAATCAGCGTTCGAATCTGTTCACCCGGAAAGGCCACGCGGTCCTTTGGACCACCAGGGCGGTGGAGGAGAGTCTCAATGTTTCTCCCTCTATCTTTATTCTTGGTGGGTTTTCCTCTCTCTCTCAGAGGTTTTTGCCATAGGGCACATGTGTTCACCGAAGACACAGAGAGACAGTGAGAAATCACCCTTTTGGGGATGGGATGGCCACACCACAATCCCTTCTCCTCCATTCTCCTCTCAGGATTTTGGGCGTGTGCACACACACGTGCCCGTTGTTAGTTTTAAGCCACCAGGTCCAAGACTCAAACCGTGGTCGGCCGTGTGGGAATCCAGCAACGTAACCACTACGCCATCTGCTGGCCCCGCATGTTTTCTGAAAACAACTTACTACTTCCCGATTTTAAACGTGTTATCCAAAATTACCATAATTCTTTTATGATCTCCTGAGTGCGCCTAGATGGAAAGATTGTGTTCTCACACGCTGATCACAGCCCTTGACAGGATGGGTGTCGCACTGGCATGATGGGAGGATAAAGAGACACCCTTTGGAGATCACTTCCGAGATCTTGGTAGTAAGAGACTACGGGCTCGAGTGTGTGAGAATCAGATCTTTGTAGCTGAAGTGGCTTGGGCTGGAGCGGGAAAGGAGACCCCTGGTTCCAAGGAAGCTACGTAAGAGACGTGGCGATAGAGCCCGGTGGGCTGGGCTCTTTCCTGAGATAACTCTGGGAGACTCTACCCCTTAGGCAAGCTCCTATGCTTGAATGACAGGAATTAACATGTGCAATAAACTCAGAATATATCGAGCACCTTCAGAGTCCAGGCACTGGAGCCTGGGAATTAAGTCTTTTTTTTTTTTTTTTAAATAGAGGCTTTTGCTTTAGGGCACGTATGCTCTGGAAAAGAGAGAGATAATAAGAGGGAGAGTGAGAAGTCACCCTCCGGGGGATGGCCACTCCGCAGTTCCTTCTCCTCCATTCTCCTCCCAGGATCTTGGGCACGTCCATGCTCCCAGAGTGAGTTTGAAGCCACTGGGTCCAGGATTTGAACTGCGGTCAGCCATATGGGAGCCCAGCCATGTAACCGCTACACCATCTATTGCTCCCATGGGAATTAAGTCTCGAGGGTGCCGCGTCTTTACCCTGGAGGAATAGGGGAGAGCCGTCACCCTCCCTGAGGAGCACAAGGACAGGCTTGCAGAGGACCTGGCCTCTGCAGGAGAGGAGCATAGCGAGAATGTCGCAGTCAGGGAGGGCTTCATAGAAGAGGCCAGCCAAGAGCTGTTTTTATTCATTTATTTTTTTAAAATAATTATTTATTTTGGGACCAGCACATGGCGTAATGATCATGTTGCTGGACTCCCATGTAGTTGACTGCAGTTTGAGTCCTGGACCCAGTGACTTCAAACTCACGCAGGGCACGTGGGCGTGTGTGCCCAAGATCTCAAGAGGGGAATAGAGAAGGGATTGCGATGTGGCCAGCCTTCCTGAGGAGTGATTTCTCATTTTCTGTTTGTTTCTCTCTGGCAAGTACATGTACCCTATAACAAAAATCTCTCTTAAAAAAAAAAAAAAAAATTTATTAATTTTTTAAAAAAAAAAAAAGAATTATTTAATTTTATTTATCATTATTATTATTCTTCAGTTTGCTGCAGAGCATGTGCACTCACCAGAAAGACACAGAGAGAGAGAGAGAGAAATGAGAAAGCAAGCTACCAGATCCGGGACTCAAACTGCCGCCTGCCATGTGGGAGTCCAGGACCCCAACTAAGAGACAGAGTAGGGAAGAAAGGAGTTCCAAAAATGAGGCTACGGCAAGAGAGAAGGGACAGCATTGCCATCCTGCAGGGACTCTCGGGAGCACCAGCCGAGCCCTTGGTCCAGCTGTGTCCAAGTGGAGTGACCTGAGCAGGATGGCTAGGCTGCTGGGCTACCCTGCCTCGGGGTGGCTGGCAGGTCCCGCTCTCAGGGGAGCCTGTCCAAGCCGCACGGGACATAGGCTGTTAGGCCTAGGACTGGTCACCATGGCGGGCAGCCTTACTTGGTTGCCGGAGCACGGGTGCCTGTGTGCCTTAGTGTGTGGCCCTCGGAGATAACAGCCTTGTTCACAGGTCAGGCCTCCGCTTGCTGTGCCTTCCTCTAGGAAGGTGGGTGTGGGGCTCCTGGTCCCAGGAGGGGACTCCACGCACCCTCTGGAAGTGGAGACGTTTATCTGGGAAACTCACCGCACTTGCCTCTCCGGCAGGCGAAATGCAGTCTCCTTTTACGAGTGCACCTAGTGTTCCGAGCCACTCCTGTCCTGGTACAAGCGTATTTATTCAGTCCCTTCACCGTCTGGATTTCTTCTCCCCTCCCCATGCTCACTTGGTTCTTTCTGGCCTTCCAGATTCAGATATTAAAGACCTCCGAGGTCACTCAGCACCTGCCCAGGGAGTGCCTTCCAGAAAACCTGGGTGGGTACGTCAAAATCGACCTCGCCACTTGGAATTTCCAGTTCCTGCCCCAGGTGAATGGCCACCCAGACCCCTTCGATGAGATCATCCTGTTCTCCCTCCCTCCTGCCTTAGACTGGGACTCGGTACATGTTCCAGGTCCCCACGCCATGACCATCCAAGAGTTGGTGGACTATGTAAACACCAGGCAGAAGCGGGGGATATACGAGGAGTACGAAGACATCCGCCGGGAGAACCCTGTGGGCACTTTCCACTGTTCCATGTGAGTAGCCAGGGCTTGGCCGCCCATCAGCAGGGCGCTCGTACCTGCCCCCACAGCCGCCCCACAAGCGCTCGCTGTGATAAGGAGCATCACTCTCGCCTGCTCTGTGGTCTCAGCCAGGAAGAGAACTGCCCTGGGGCACGTTGCCCACGTCCTACGCTCTGAAACAGCTGGAGGTCTTGGATAACGAAAGGGGAACCTTATAATCATGGGCATATTTCTGAAATGCCTATCCCTGAAATGCAAGTGTTAAAAAGAGAAAAAGGTAGGCTCAGAATGGGGCCAGCAGCTGGCGTGAAGGTTAAGGCGCTGGATCCCTCATGGCCACCTCTGCAGTTCGAGTTCTGGACCGGTGACTTGAAAAACACGCCAGGCGCATGTGTGTGCATGCCCCAAATCCCAAGAGGAGAATGGAAGCCGCCCCACAAGCGCTCGCTGTGATAAGGAGCATCACTCTCGCCTGCTCTGTGGTCTCAGCCAGGAAGAGAACTGCCCTGGGGCACGTTGCCCACGTCCTACGCTCTGAAACAGCTGGAGGTCTTGGATAACGAAAGGGGAACCTTATAATCATGGGCATATTTCTGAAATGCCTATCCCTGAAATGCAAGTGTTAAAAAGAGAAAAAGGTAGGCTCAGAATGGGGCCAGCAGCTGGCGTGAAGGTTAAGGCGCTGGATCCCTCATGGCCACCTCTGCAGTTCGAGTTCTGGACCGGTGACTTGAAAAACACGCCAGGCGCATGTGTGTGCATGCCCCAAATCCCAAGAGGAGAATGGAGGAGAAGGGATTGCAGTGTGGCCACCCCTGGATGGTGGTGACTTCTTACTCTCCCTCTCTGCCTCTATTCAGCTACTTCATGTGCCCTATGGCAAAAGTCTAGAAAAAAGGAGGGGGGCTGCTCTTCTGCTGTCTTTAGCATGAGATCTAGTCAGTTCATTTGGAAAGTGTCTCTTCAGAGCATTTGTAGTCTGGCCTTGTATCGAAGAGCAGTCCTGGAGCCCCTAGGGCAATCCCAGTCGGAGAAGAAAGCGGCCTCTGGGGCTCTCCTGCCAGAGGACCCAGGCCCTGCCATGACCCATCTGGCCAGCTCGTAACTCTGGCTCCTGACCGCTTGTGGGCAATAGAGCATGGATTGTTTTTCTTGCCGTGTTTTTTTTTTTTTTCCTTAACCATGTTATAATTGGCTATAGCTAAAATCTCTCCAGCTAGTGAGCTCTATGTGTTGAAAATTAGGGATCTCGATTTTATTTTTATTTGCCGGGTGTATGTACTTACAGGATGGGCAGTTCCCACACAGTGGGGTGTGGCTATGCCACCATCCCTTCTCCTCCATTTCTCCACACTGTTGGAATATGCACACTCACGCACGGGCACCCAGTATGTTTGTCAAGCTGCCAGTACAGGGATTCCAGCCATTGTCGACCATGTGGGATCCGGCTCCCTTAGCCACCAGGCCACAAGCCAGCCCTGCTTTCAGTTTTCTGTGTACCTGTCCGCATTATATTTCTGTGCGCGTAATCGGATTTCCACTGTCACCATTCTCCAAGGGCTCAGACGTGAGATAGTCGGTTCCGTGGTTTCCCTGCAGACCTCACCTGTAGAACTTTCTGTGCTTCCACGCCAGTCTGGACCGAGGCGAGTTGTTCCCCAGCCCTGCTCCTCAGCTTTCTTGCTGCAGCTTTCCCTTTTCCCTTTGTCAGGTCTCGTTTCCTGGTCCCGTATCTTCTTTCTTCACTTATATTCTATGTTCCCAAACATTCTAGGTTGGGAATAATTTTATCTCAGACCTTTTTTTAAAGAATTATTTTATTTAGGGACCAGCAGTTAGCCTAATGGCTGTGTCGCTGGATGCCCATGTAGCCGACCGTGGTTCTAGTCCCGGACCTGGTGGCTTAAACTCATGCCGGGCATGTATGCGTGCGTGCCCAAGATCCTGAGAGGTGAATGGAGGAGAAGGGATTGCGGCGTTGCCATCTCCCCGGGGGGTGATTTCTCGCTTTCTGTCTCTCTGTCTCTCTCTGTCTTTCTGGCGAGCGCACATGCCCTATAGCAAAAACCTCTCATTAAAAAAAAAAAAAAAAAGAAGAATTATTTTATTTATTATTATCATTATTTTTAATTTGCTGTAGGTCATGTGCATTCACCAGAGGGAGACAGAGAAGGAAAGTGAAAAAGGAAGCCACCATGTCTGGGACTCAAATTAAGGTTGGCCATGTGGGAGTCCAGGGCCTTAACCACCACGCCACCTGCTGGCCCCATTATCTCAGAAATTTTAAGCAGGGCTGCTCCAAGAACTTTTCTTTCCTTCTTAATTCCCGAGGGTTTTTCTTCTTTGTTCCTTTTTCCTTTTTCACACCCTCCTATTCTTGTTTCATTCTTAGTATCTTTTTTTCTCTTTGAGGATATCCATTATAACCTTTTGGAAGTAATTTTCTCTGAGTGATTCTCGTTTGTGCTTTTCCTCATGTGTTTGAGATGGGTCCTTGTGGGAGGGACTTGCCTTAAGTACCTGGGGCTCCTTGGCCATTAGTTCACACTTAGAAGTGAGGTCCTTAAAAGTGTGGGGATGGCTTGTGTGCATGGGCGAGCTTCCTAATAAAAGCCACACCCCGTGTCAGGACTCTTCCCCGGGGCCGGGCAGGTCTTCCAGAGAGCAGTTCTCCAGTCTCTTGCCCGCTGGACCCAACCCTGGTGTGGGTGTTGGCCAGCAGGGAGCCTGGAGCAGATGCCCACCCTCTCTCTGCTGGGTGTATCTACTTCCTTTTCTTAGCACTGTGCCCCACCTTGCCCTCCAGGGTGTGGGGGTTCCCGAGTCACGTTGTCTCTGCAGATAGCTCCCTGGTCCTCCTGCGGCACCTGGCCAACAGCTCCACCCATGTCCTCTCCTCTGTTCTCTGTCAGTGGTTGAAATCTTTTTGTCTCCCAGTGTCTCCATTGGTGTGCTTTTTGGGTTCGTACTGAAGAGGTACTTTCTTCCCTCCCCACCCCCCCTTTTTGGGAGAGGTTTTTGCTATAGGGCGCGTGCACTTGCCAGAAAGACAGAGAGAGAGAGACAGACAGACAGAAAGCGTGAAATCACCCCCCAGGGGCATGGCCACACAGCAATCCGTTCTCCACCATTCTTTTCTTGGGATCTTGGGCACGCACGCACACGCTTCCGGCTTGAATTCAAGCCACCGGGTCTGGTACTCGAACCACAGTTGACTACTTGGGAGTCCAATGACATAGCCAGTACGACAACTCTGGTCCCCTAAAGAGGTTCTTTATAGTCATCTCAGTGAAGCTTCCGGGCAGAGTGGAGGTGACGAGTGTTGTCAACCCGCATTGTTCACCTGTAATTTTAAGAGAGTTATTTTCGGCATCTGTTGAGACGTGTACGGTAGAGGGTTTAATCTGCAGTGAGGTTTGCTGGTGCTGTAGCCCATTTCTCTCCCTCTCCTGTTATTTCACGCGAGCTCTTCAGGAAGCAGGAGACACCGGGATGGCTGGACCGTGACATTTCTGCCGATGTCCCGACCACAGGTGCCTGGGCAGTCTCCAGGCCTGCGGGGTTCCCTGTAGCTCCCCTCACCAATTGCCCTCATGCTCCCCCACAGCAAGCACCCCCTAATTCTGCCTGCTGCCAGGTTCCCAAACTGCTTCCTCATCTTTAGGTGTCTGTTGCAGCAGCACCCCGCTTCTCAGTACCAGTTTCTACCTTAGTCCCTCTGGGGCCAATCTTTCTCTCTCTTTATTATTTTTTAAGTTTTTGCCATAGGGCATGTGTGCTAACTGGAGAGAAATGAGAGAGATGGCCACGCTGCAACCCCTTCCTCTCCATTCGCCTTCTAGGATTTTGGGAACACACCTGACATGATTGTCAGGCCGCCAGGTCTGAGACTCGAACTGCAGTCGGCCAAGTGGGGGTCCAGCGCCTTAACCATCATTCCACCTGCTAGCCCCTCCTCTCGTTTATGTATTTAAATATTTTTTTTCTAGAAAGATATTTTTGCTATAGGGCGTATGTGCTCACTAGACAGACAGAGACTGGGAGACAGAAAGTGAGAGATCACTCCCCCGCCAGGGGGGGATGGCCATACTGCAATCCCTTCTCCATTCTCCTCTTAAGATTTGAGTACATATGCACACATGACCGGCGTGCGTTTCAAGCCACTGGGTCCGGGGCTCAGACCATAGTCGACCGTGTGGGAGTCCAACCATGTAACTGCCACACCATCTGCTGGTTCCTCCTCTTTCTTTTTTTTGAGATTTTTTTTTTTTTTTTTTCTGCTATAAGGCACACATGCACTCACCAGAAAGAAAGACAGAGACAGAAAGTAAGAAATCATCCCCCAGGGGTCGGGCCACACCACAATCCCTTCTCCTCTTGGGATCTTAGGCACACACCTGCCCGGCGTGAGTTTAAGCCACCGGGTCCAGGACTTGAACTGCGGTCGACTATGTGGGAGTCCAGCGGTCTGCTGGTCCCCTTTCTCTCTCTTTTAAATGGAAATATTAGACTATTAGGAAGGTCATGACATGTCTTTCTGTGCAAAAATCCATCATTTCCTTCCTGTCAACCCAGTATCTTTTTTTTTAAAGAATTATTTTATGGGAACCAGCAGTTGGTGTAATGGCTATGTCGCTGGACTCCCACGTAGTCGACTGCGGTTCTCGTCCTGGACCCGGTGGCTGAAAACTCCTCACACCGGGCGCGTGTGCGTGCATGCCCAAGATCCCGAGAGGAGAATGGAGGAGAAGGGATTGCGGCGTGACCATCCCCCGGGGGTGTGATTTCTCGCTTTCTGTCTCTACGTCTGTCTGGCGAGCGCACACGCCCTATAGCAAAAAAAACCTCTCCCCCCCCCAAAAAAAAAGAATGATTTTATTTCACTTTATTTATTTTGATTATTTATTTTTAAATTTCACCAGAGAGCAGTAGAGTGAGAGAAAGAGAGAGGAAAAGTGAGAAAGGAAGCCACCAGGTCCAGGACTCGAGCTGTGGTCAGCCACGTGGAGGAGTCCAGTGCCCTTAACCACCACGCCACCTGCCAGCCCCCGACCTAATATCTTTATTGCCATAAGGAATATATACTTACCATTAAAAAGTCAAATGATAGAAAGCTGTACAGACCAGAGGGGAAAAGCTACGCCTCCCTGCCCCGACAGTAAATGGCATCCGCCCTCGTGTTGGCTGTGCCCGACTTTGTACGTGGACAGACACCCAGTCCCCGCTCGGAATTGCTGTAGCTGGTGTTGTCACCTCCTCCAGGTCCCCAGGAAACCTGGAAAAGAACCGCTATGGAGACGTACCCTGCCTGGACCAAACCAGAGTCAAGCTGACCAAGCGGAGCGGCCACCCTCAGGTAACCGAGGAGTGCCACCTTAAGGAGCACTGGGGGAAACCGAGCCTTCACCAAGGTGAAGGTTACCCCAGACCCAGGTAGCACGAAGGGGACCCGCAGCCAGGGAGCGAGGGCCCCGTTCCGATGTTGATGCGAACCAGCTTGGGACCAGAGGACGTCCCTGAGTGCCCACCCCATGGTGCGGGTGGACCTGAGGTGAAGTTCGTTAGGTGAATGCACAGTCCCAGGTCTGCCGTATCGTAGGTGCTGATGTGTGCTAAGTCACCATATCTAGGAACAGACATGCAATTACTCCACCGCTTGTTGTAATCATTTGGTCATATCTGCGCACATTAAAAAGCACTTCTTTCTTTTTTTTTTAAAGAGAGATTCTTGTTATAGGGCATATGAGTCCTGGACCTGGGGTCTTGAAACTCATCCTAGGGGCCTGTGCGCGTGTGCCCAAAATCCTGAGAGGAGAATGAGGAAACTGGATTGCTGTCTGGCCATCCCCCCAGGGGGTGATTTCTCACTTTCCGTCTCTCTGTCTCTGTCTCTCCAGTGAGCGCACATGCCCTATAGCAAAAATACCTTACCCAAAAAAAGTCTTATTTGTTTCTTCCAACAGAGTGCAACCCCCGTGATGCCCTTTTCCCCCGTGCTTTTACTCAGGCTTGAATCCTGGGCAGGTGTGTGCCTGCTGTACTCCTGGAGGTCTCTAAGACTTGAACTGGGAACCTTCCCACTTGGGATTGCCTTGTAGAGCATTGGTATTTTACTACTGTGCTCCTGACTGCCTTTCCCCGGAAGTTAATTAATTTATTTATTTATTTTTAAGTTTGCTATAAGGCATGCACACTCACCAGATGGGGTAAGAGGGAAAGTGAGGAAGCGCTCCCTTGGGAGGATGGCCACACTTCAATCCTTTCTCCTCCGTTTTCAACACTTGGGATTTTGGGCATACATGCACATGTGCCCAGCATGTTTTTCAAGCAATTGGTTGCTTAGTCAGCCATGTGGTACAGCCGCCTTCACCACACTACCCGCTGGCCTCCCAAAAGTTTTTCATTTTAATGTAATCCAATTTGTCTCTTTTCTTTTGTCTACCTCATGTCACACTTGGGCTTTTGGTTTCATATCTAAAAAGACTTCGCCTAAACCAAGATCACAAAAGTTTATTCCTGTATTTACTTAGGAGTTTTATAGTTGTAATCTCTTACATTAAGCCCATGACCTGTCTTGAGTTAAGTCTTATGTATGGTGTGAGGAAGGGATGAGGTTGCTTTTTCTGCGTGTCGATTTCCAGTTGTCTCGGCACTGTTGAAGTGAAGGCTTGAATTGGCCCTTTTCTTACTAATTCTCTGCCTGACATGAAGAGAACATTTACACCTTGGACTTTATTTAATCTGGTACATCATTTTCCTACTCAATGATCTATCCGAAACAACTTCAGTGGTGTCTCCTTTTTATCATTAGACGGATTACATCAATGCCAGTTTCATGGATGGCTACAAGCAGAAGAATGCTTACATTGGTACACAAGGTAAGTTGCCCGGTACTCCCTTATCGGTTTTCTGTCGTAAGCCTGCAATTCTTTGTGCCACCTGATGACATCATTTTAGGAGGAAATAGTACTTGAATTGGCGTGACTTGGTGTCTGGCCACCAGATCCTGGCCTTTCATAAGGACCGGTGGTGGTTAAGGAAGCGAGATAAAAGGTGTAAGGTTCTGACCCAGGTGTGCGTGGAAACTCACTGCATAGAGGTGAGCTGGAGATTTACACATACATCTAACACGGGTGCAGGTTTTCTGCTGTGTCTTTTTAAGAGATTTTTGCTGTAGAATGTGTGTGCTCACCAGAGAGACAGAGACAGAGAGACAGAAAGTTAGAAATCACCCTCCAGGGGGAATGGTTATGCCATAATCCCTTCTCCTCTATTCTCCTCTTGGGATTTTGAGCACATGTACCCAGTGTGAGTTTTTGTTTTTGTTTTTGTTTTTGTTTTGGGGAGGTGGGAGGTTTTTGGTATAGGGTGTGTGTGCTCACCAGAAAGACAGAGAGAGATAGTGAGATAGAAAGCAAGAAATCACCTCCCAGGGAGAATGGTCATGCCACAATCCCTTCTCCTCCATTCTCCTCTTGGGATCTTGGGCATGCATGCATATGCGCCCAGCGTGAGTTTAAGCCACTGGGTCCAGGACTCGAACCACAGTCGGCTACATGAGAGTCCAGCGACATAGCCATTATGCAAACTGCTGGTTCTCACCCAGCATGAGTTTTTTTGTTTTCTGGGGGTTTTTTTGGAGAGATTTTCACTATAGGTCGCGTGTGCTCGCCAGACAGACAGAGAGAGACATAGAGACAGAAAACGAGAAATCACCTCCCGGGGGGGGATGGTCATGACACAATCCCTTCTCCTCCATTCTCCTCTCGGGATCTTGAGCACACACGCACACACGCCCGACATGAGTTTTAAGCCACCGGGTCTGGGACGTGAACTGCGGTTGACTACGTGGGAGTCCAGCGACATAGCCATTACGCCAACTGCTGGTTCCCCAGCATGAGTTTTAAGTTGCTAGGTCTGGGACTTGAACTATGGTCAACTATGTGAGAGTCCAGCGACGTAACCATTACGCCATCTGCTGGTCCATCTGGTGTGTCTTACAGTGGGCATCAAAACTCACTAGCCGGTGACATGCCCTTTGTGTCCAGGAGGAACCAGGAGCGGCAGTGGATGCTCGGAGGGTGGGTCTAACCTAGGAATGAGCATTGCTGTGGCCAGAGGCCTTGGAGGGGCTCTGGACTATCAGGAGCTTCCTGGGGAAGGTGCTAACGGGGAGAGTCTGTGCTGTGTCGCACGGTGACGACTTGGCCTCTAGGGCGGCTTCCGATGGAGATCCTGGAAGTGTTCCTGTGGGCTCAGAACCGCAGGCCTGGCCTCTGTCCATCCGGAGAACACAGTACCGCCTTTTGAGAGGGTGGGAGGGAATCATGACATGGAAAATTAAACAGGCCACTCCGTGGGCTAGGCCCTTGGCCCTGCAGCGACTGGCTAGCAGACACTCGGGGGAGCCTCCGTAGCCCAGCTGTCACACTCTATCATAGGGACATTGCCCGTGGTGCCGTCGGAAATGCCCATCACCTCGGTCGTATGTTGCACTTTAAAATTTTTATCAGACATTTAAACTTTTCTGCAGATATTTTCTCTGTAAACACATAGGTACAGACATAGCAAGTATTTAATAAAGTGGCCTCTTTAAGTTTTATTCCATGAGTAAGAGAGACAGAGACAGAGAGGCAGAGATAAAGCTCCTCAGGAGACTCCCTGTGCAGTGATCCACCCCCAGCTGTAGCCGCCCAGATCCTGGGCACATGCGTGCTGGCATAGGCAGGGAGGTCTTTGGGCTCAAACTGGCCACCTTCCTGTGTGGGTCTGCCCTACAGAGTCCTGCCCCCACCTGCTGGGCCACCATCTGGCCCCCATTTAAATGGTGTCTTTGAACACCTTTCCATGGCAGAAAAATAGTAATAACCTGTCTTACCACCTCACCTTTGTGGACAGTGTGAGTTATGGGTATTCCGTAACTGAACCCTCTCATTGCACACTTAGCTCATTTCCAAGACCGCACATTCTTTCTGAAGCGTCCACTTTGACAAAGGGGGAGTTCCATTGTCATTAGATGATAGTGCTTGCTAAAAGATTGAGCAAAAATGGCCATGGAACTGGGGACTTCCAGGCCAAAACCAACCCTCGATACCACCCGGCTTCGCTAAAAGAAGAATGGGGAAGAGCTGTGGGAAAGTGCAGGGATTTGCCCTGGGCTGCTCTGCTCCTGAGCGAAAGGGACTCGATGGCCCACAGGTGTCTTTGGAGTTCTTGCTGAGTGTACCCTGCCCACCCGTTTAGGTTGTAACCATAAATGGACAACTTGGGGCTGGCCCGAGCTTAGTGAGTAAAGGAACCAGGTCCCAGGGGGTTGACTACGGTTCAAATCCCACCCATGGCAGCGTGAAAAACATGCCAGGCACGTGCACATGTGTGCTCAGGGTCCCTGCAGGATGGGAAAATGGAGGAGAAGGGGTGGCAGTGTGATCCTACCCCATGCGGTGGTGCCTTGCCCCTCTCCCGTGTCTCTGTCTCTGGCGAATGCACGTGCCCACTGGCAAGAATTAGTGAATGAAGAGCTTGACTTGACCCTCGCCCTCAGGACCATGTTTCTGGAGACATTGCTAATTCTCATGTGGTTAAAGGGCTGATGCAAGACCATATCATTAAATGGGTAAGCTGTTTAGAGCCGGCTGTGCATTGAGACTTCAGAAGAGAGGAAGCCCCACGAGGTGTAGGGTGGGCAGAGAAAGCTTCAGTGGAGGCAGCTCTTTAAAGCCAGCAGGTGGTATAGTGGTTAAAGCACTAGACTCCCATGTGGCTGATTTCAGTTCAAGTCCCGGATCCGAAAGCTTGACACTTAGGCTAGGCTTAGGTGCATGCATGCTCAAAATCTCGAGAGGAGAATGGAGGAGAAGGGATTGTGGTGTAGCCATTCCCCCCAGGGGGTGATTTCTCACTTTCTCTCTGTGTCTCTCCAGCAAGTACACATGCCCTACAGCAAAAATCTCTCAAAAAATAAAAAGAAAAAGGGAAAAAAAAAAAAGTGATGGTATGGAGGGAGGTAAGGGAGGCAGCTGGGACGTAGGAAGAGAGCATGACGATAAAGCCGTTCTTAGAAAACGGTGGGGTAGGAGGACCAGCAGGTGGCGTGGTGGTTCAGGTGCTGGACACTCCCACATGGCCGACCATAGTTTGAGTCCTGGACCTGGTGGCTTGCATTCTCACTTCCTCTCTCTTTGTCTCTGGTCATATTAAAACAAATGAGTGAATAAATAAAATTAAATAAATAATTATTTAAAAAAATAAAGAAAGATAAGAAAATGGTGGGATTGGGACCAGCAGGCGGGATGGTGGTTAGGGTCCTAGACTCCCCCAGTTCGAGTCCCAGACCTGGCAGCTTACTTTCACACTTTCTCTCTGTCTCTCTCTGGTGAGTATACGTGCCCTGTAGCAAATTAAAAAATAATGACAGTAATAAATTAATTAATAAGTCTTTTAAAAAGAAAAGAAAAGACAATGATAGGTTAAACAGAACAGCCTGGGAGGGAAGGAGACCTTTCGGAGATGTGAACTAGGGTGGCAGCAGACTCAGAGGTGCTGTGGTCCTCGGCGGCTGTGATGTTGGATGGGAAGAATCGGAGAGGGAGAAGGGGAGGGATGAGGCTGAACACCTGAAGCCTTTCTGAGGCAAGCACCCTGGAGGGTTGAGGTGCCCACGTCTGGGAGGGGAGAGTGAGAATAGTGAGTGCTGGTTCCGTGTCCCGAGACGGGTCGGTTCAGGGACGCCAGCGTTGTGAGCAGGTGAGGCGGTCGAAGGAGGAGACAGTACAGACAGTGCAGCGGGACACAGGAGAATGCTCAGCGGGGCTTGTGGCGGGGCGAAGTCTGAGCGAGATGAAGACGTGTGCCCAGGTGCTCCTGTCGCCTGCTGTGATGCTGGGCTGGGTGAGGTCTGAGGTCTGTGACTGCACCTGCCGGGTGCTAACCTGCCTGCACACCCCAAGGATCTCATTCACCCTGGGTGTGCGTTTCAGAAACTCCCCTTCCACACGGGGACGCTGGGACGCTGGTGCTCGGACCGCACTGCCAGCAAGGCTATGGCAGAACGGGGATCTTAGACCTGTGCTTTGGAGTTGCTGTTTGGGAGAAGTAAATAAATAAGAACCCGGACAGGAAGAAGTGCTGCCCAAGGTCACGCTCCTGTCTTTTCCTTTCATTGCAGGCCCTTTGGAGAATACCTACCGGGATTTCTGGCTCATGGTGTGGGAGCAGAAAGTCCTGGTGATCGTCATGACCACCCGGTGAGCTAATCCTCTTCCCCACTCATCCTCACCCCACCGCGCCCCAGGGATGGGTCCTTCAGGAGGAAAGTTTCGCTCTCAGAAACGAGGACTGGGAAAGCCATCGTAAAGACTCGGCAGTGGTAGCCCCCCTTAGCTAAGCGTTAGCAGGAGGACCAGCAGATGGTGTAGCAGTTATGTTGCTGGACTCCCCACATGGCCGACCCTGGTTCGTGTCCCAGACCTGGACTTGGTCTCATGCCAGGCACATGTGCGCCCAAGATCCCAGGAGGAGATTGGAAGAAAAGGTATTGTGGTGTGGCCATGCTCCCTGGGGGCGATTTCTCGCCTTCTTTCTCTCTGTCTCTGTCTCTCCACGAGTGCATGCGCCCTAGAACAAAAATCTCTCTTTAAAAAAAAAGAGCAGCAGCAGAATCTGATGGAGATGGATAGGTGCAGTGAGCCAAAGCCGCTATCCAGGGCGATGGGAGGCTGCCCTGGCTTAGTCTGTCCGGAGGGCCTGGCCTCATCCAGCAAAGGTCCTCAGAAGCCGGGGCAGCTCAGCCGTAACCTGGCCCTGGCCCGACGTTCCAGCCTGTGTCAGATGAGGACGCAAACGGGAGCACTGCTTAGCCTCTCCTGGGCCCTGCTCGAGCACCCCCGTGGGGCGGCACCTCAGAGTCATTTGGGGCCCCTGGGGGGGTGGTGAGCTGGACCTCAGGCCTGTATGTGATCTCCCACCGGCCCTCCAGGAGCCACGTCCTTCGTGGGAACGGTGGCAGAGGTCCAGCTAAAGAGCTTTCTCTCTTCCACCCTCCATATTTCCTCTGCGACCGTCTGTCTTTTCCTTTTTCTGGGGGGTGAAGATTTTTGCCACCGGGCATGTACACTCATTGGAGGGAGACAGAGAACATGAGAGATCACCCCTCGGGGGATGGCCACGCCGCAGTCCCTTCTCCATTCTCCCCTGGGGATCTTGGGCACACACACACACATGCTGGGCACGATTCTCAAGCTGCCAGTTTGGAGCTCAGAGGCGGTCCGCCTGTGGAAATGCAGTGCCTTGGCCACCACGCCGCCTGCTGGCCTGCTCTGCGTCTTTGTCTGCCTGGAATTTGTCCTAGAAGTGTCAGGAGGGAGGCAGGATGATGTGTCTGTGCCCCGTACCTGCTCAGCGCAGGCGCACACGTGAGCTGGGGGGCCGTCTGTGTGGAATGAACACACATCCTCCCTCTTTTGCTGAGATCAGTGGTCTAAGCGAGGGAGGAGGTGCCACTGCGCCTTGGGGTACAGCAGGGCGTCGGGGAGGCAGGTTCCACTGCGGGACAAGGGTGGAGGGCTCACCTTTCCCTGTGTGTCCTCAGCTTCGAGGAAGGCGGTCGGAGAAAGTGCGGTCAGTACTGGCCTTTAGAGAAAGACTCTCGGATCCGATTCGGCTTCCTCACAGTGACCAATCTCGGCGTGGAGAGCATGAACCATTATAAGAAAACGACACTAGAAATTCACAACACAGAGGTAAGCCGGGCTCCTGCTCCCTCACCTCGTCGCGGCAGCCGGGAAGCCTGTGTTGTAGACACTCTCCAGAGGGTACAGGCAGGATGGCAGGGACGCCACGCGGGGCCAGGGGTGGCGGTCCAGCTCAGGACCACAACCGCGTACGACCTGAACTGAGGAGGCATGCGTAGGATTAAAGCTGATGGCAGGAAACCTGGACGCTGCAGTAGAGGAATTCTGCCCCTTCCTAATGCTGTACCTTCTGGGGCTGCAGTGGACAGAGCTGAGAATGGTGGAAGAGCTCGTGGTCGGGGTCCCAGGGTGGCGACTGTCCGGGGCAGGCAGAAACCATCTCATGTACTCCCACATCTCTCTCCATCTAAGGAGCGACAGAAACGCCAGGTGACCCACTTCCAGTTCCTCAGCTGGCCAGATTATGGCGTCCCCTCCTCAGCAGCTTCCCTCATCGACTTCCTGAGGGTGGTCAGGAGCCAGCAGAGCCTGGCAGTCAGCAGCTCGGGGGCACGGGCCAAGGGGCAGGGCCCCGAGCCGCCCATTGTGGTCCACTGCAGCGCGGGCATCGGCAGGACAGGTACGGCCCGGCGTGGGCTGGTGGCGTGCAGGTGGGCAGGGCCTGCTTGGGTCACACTTGGGTCGGGCTCCTGTGACCACTGGATAGGTGACTACGACAAAGCCCTCCTCAAGGTCCTCGTACTGCCAGCTTCCCCTCCACTGGTCAAGCCTCAGGGTGGATGCTTCGCACATTCCATCAGTGTGCTTGTCTTCTGACCCTGTCACCAGTCACCACTGTCACACCCGGGTGTCCCAGAGAACTCAACCCAACGGAAGCTTCCTTTCCCTTCCCTCGGGGAGTCCTGGGGGTACGCCCCACCCCGTGCTGAGGTCTGCGTCCTGGAGTCAGTTCGCAGCTTCTCCCCTGGGGGCCTGCGCTGCAGGAGCTACTGGCCGTTCCAGCGCGGAGGTCCTTTGGGGAAAAGGCAGGCAAAGTAGGGCTCTGTGGGGACTTGTGGTCTCTGGAAGCTAGGTGCAGGAGTGTCATCTGTCTTTCTGCCTGGGATTGAAGCAGAGAGTGCCTGTGTCACTCTCTGGCCTCCAAAAGCCCTGTGACCTCCCTGGGGTCCTTTTAGGCCCAAGGCAATGTCCTCTGGCCATGAGGCACCTTGCTGTGAGTTCATTCATCCAGGCCTGCCCGGGGAACTTGGTAGAGAGAAGAGGAGAGAAGCAAGCCAGAGGTGACCACTTCCTTCTTCTGCAGGAACCTTCTGCTCCCTGGACATCTGCCTGGCCCAGCTGGAGGAGCGTGGCACCCTGAACGTGTTCCAGACGGTGTCACGCATGCGGACCCAGAGGGCCTTCAGCATCCAGACCCCCGAGCAGTACTACTTTTGCTACAAGGCCATCCTGGAGTTTGCAGAGAGGGAGGGCATGGTGCCCTCTGGCCAAAGCCTGCTGGCCATGGAGGGTCAGTAACTGTCCCACCAGCCTCCTGCCTGCCGGCCAGCCCTCCCAAACCACCCCGGACACTGCTGAGCCTGTAGGTTGCCGAGTTCCTCTGACGCCATGGATCAGCCTCTTTCTCGTGTCTCCCTGCGCTCGTGTGCACGCAGACAGCCTTCCCCTCTGGCTAGATAAACGTGGCGACGCTGCCCGCCAGGAAGGGCTGGCAGCAATGTGTTCCTCACTCCTAGCGCCTGCTATCGAACTGTGCCTTAGTAAAACCAAACTGTGGCTATTGATTTTTGCCAGGGGCCCTGAGGTAAGTGGGGAAGGAACCCCCCTCCCCCTTTCCCATTGCCATTCTCCTTCCAGACGTCTCCTCTCTACCGCCCCTTCCCCTTGCTAGGATTCCACGGGGAGGTTTGGTGAGCACTCGCCTTCCACCCCAGAGAGCTTGACCAAGTTACATATTCTAGAGATCGTCCCGAGTGCCAAGCACGTTCATACGTAGGGCGTTTACTCCGGTCCTGTCATCCTGTGTGTGTGCGTGTGTGTATGTGCACTTCTGTGTGTGGGTCCATATGTATGTGTGTATATAATATATATTGTATGTGATAATATGGTCGTATTCTATAAAGACACAGACACACAGTACTCCTTTGTAGAAGTTCCTGGGGCTCCGTGTTGCAGTGCAGGCCTCCCTGCTCTGGGACCTACTGTTTATCCCGGACTAGCTGGGTGGGGATGCACACCACCCGCTGTGGGGCCCCAGAGTGGTGGAAGAAGACCCGTGGCCGCCTCCCGTGCTCCTGCTGCAGGCCCTCCCCTGCAGTAATTGCAGCTCCCTTCGGATGCAGCCTGTTGGAGCTGGGAAGACTGGGTTGATTCCACTTGGCTGCCCTTCTCTAACGAATTATGTCTGTTACTTGGCTGCCGTTGGGAACAGACCTCCACTGTGATGCCAGACCCTCCTTCCTCTCGGTCCCGGGGATGGGGTACCAGCAGGCGAGATGGCCTCGCTGAGTAGCCAGAGCCAAACGCAATCGGTACTAAGTCTTAGAAGGAATGAGGGGTGCGCCCAGGTGTGAGAGGCAACTGCTGAGGGAGTCCCTCCCTGGGAGGTCGAGCTGCGTCGCCGTCTTTTGCCGGAAGGTTCCTTGTGCAGCTTGGCCCTGTCTACTGAGATGCCCGTCTCTTCCTGCCCGTCAGCCTGCCAGGCCTTGAGTTAAGGCAGGGTGGGGTCTGGGCTAGTAAGAAGTTTGGCCCCCTGGCTGGGCGAAGTGGTTCCCTCAATCGCTGTCGTCCCCACACACCGACCCGTCCCTACCTGCTCCCAGACCACCCCGTCTGATGTGCCAGGGGTGCAATCAAGAGTCCCCAGCACTCCACACTCCCAAGAAAATCCCAGGAGCCCCCAGACTTCTTCCCCATCACAGAAGATGAGGTTGGCAGCTGATCAAACCTCAATAATTTTATACTGTAATAAGCTCTTTGAATGTGTATATTCTTATTTTTTACAATCATTTCATTTTGTATTTAACATCAATGAACTGAGTCAGATTCAGAAAATAATTGTAATGTTCCTATTCAATCTCTTACAGTGATACAGTTTTGTATTTACATACAAATATACCAACATGATAAAACCCTTTTAGCTTCATCAATTTAGCATCCTGGGACTGGGAAGGTGAGGCGGGGGTCTAGGAGCTAGTCCGGGGGGTGTGGGGAGCAGGGGAAATGCCAGGTTGGTGTCGGAGGCTCAGCCTGAGCGCCCCACCTTGGCCATAGGCTGCTGCCCGCTCTGACAAGGCCCGGACCAGCTGGTCCTTGCGGAGTGCCATGCGCTGTGCTGCTCTGCCCCTGTGCCTTTATTCAGGCCTCGACAGTCCCGTGCGCTGTCCCCTCCCTCACTTTTCCTGTCCATCCTGCTCCCACCTCCACCTGGGCAAGGACGGTGAGGCCCAGAGGTCCAGAACTGCAGCTCAAGTTTGGGTCTGCTCCAAAACCTTGGTCTCTTCACTGCATCAGAGGTAGGGAGAAGGCTTTGCCTCGGGAGACCGGAAGGGTTATGGGGCTCCCTTTTCAGAACATAAACAGTGACTAAATTCCAGGGACGTGGTCCTGAGCCCACCCTTCATGTGGCGGGGTAGCAGGGTGACAGCGTTGGTGACCGAGTCTCCCGGATAGGACGCCCTGGAACAGGGTCCTCGGGTCCATGGAGTTCCGTGCGGCCCCCTGCTAGGGAGCCCCCACAGCCCTGGGTACAGCGGTCACGGTGGGGAGACCCTGAGTCATTTGCTTCTCTCTCGTAGCAGATGGACCCAGCAGCCTTGTCCCCTGTGGGCCAGTGACGGCCTGCCCGCATGGGGCGGCTCTGGCCTGGAGAGCGCACAGCCGAGCGTTCTGGGTACCAGCTGAGCAGCTGCCGTGGGCGCTCCCTGCACCATGCACAGTGCTCCTAGACCCCTCTCTTTCACCTCCGGCTACCTTTGAGGTAGGAAAAAAACACCGAGACATTGGCAGGTTGACTTGCTACAGCCGGGACCCTGGACGCGATTCCCCAATACCTGCCCGTAACTCTCAGCGCTAGCCTGGTAGGACCATCTCCTCATCGGCCAGCACAGTCTTCTTATATTTCTTCCCTTAATCAGAGCCAGAGTCACGAGCAGGAGAGTAAACTAGTCTGTGCCCGAGATGGGCCTCCCTTCTCTCTCTCTCTTTGGAGAGGTTTTTGCGATCGGGCACGTGCACTCGCCAGAAAGAGACAGAAAGTGAGAAATCACCCCCCAGGGGGGATGGCCATGCAATCCCTTCTCCATTCTCCTCTCAGGATCTTAGGCACACACGCACACGTGCCCGGTTTGAGATTAAGCCACCGGGTCGGGGACTCGAACTGCAGTTGACTGCATGGGAGTCCAGCGACGGTAGCTATTTCGCTAACTGCCAGTCCCGAGCCTCCCTTCTCTTCGGAGCAAACCAGCATTAAACGGGTTTAGGTTGGGTGAACTGAGCAGGGGGTGGGGTAGCCTCAGACTTGCTTACCTGAGAGGCCGTGGCCCACCTGTCCTGTAAATTTGAAGCTGTGCTCCAGTTCCTATCACGGGTCTGTGGAGTCTGAGGGTCGTAGGGCTCTGTCAGGGCAGGTTCCTGGGCCCAGCCAGCAGGTCGCTGAGAGGGACAGGATGACCCAGGTCAGGGAACTGCCGGTTCCTGATTCTGGGAGACAGCACAGCCCGAGAGGAGGCAGTAGTAGCTCTCCCCACGCAGCCTCCCTTTGCCGTCAAAGCGGGGAAGGAAGGGGCAGCAGAGGAGGAGCCCACAGAAGAACCCAGGGATTTGAGGTTCTCCCACAGGAGACAGTGAACAAAAGCGCCCAGGAGAGGAGAAAGCATTTTGGGCTGACATGAGGTGATCCTGCCGCCCACTGCTGCTCCGTTCATCCTGCCCAGTCCTGCCAGGATGAGGGTGCCCCCGCTTCTCAGCCCAGGAGGCCTCCACCATCGGTCTCCTCCACGTCACTGTGTGCAGGGTCAGGGCAGAGGACTTGGTGCGGGAGGGCTGGACTGTTAGCGTCATTTAGCATCGCCATTTAGCATATGTGCTCAGTCTTCTGCTCACCCCGACTGGAAACAGGTCTCTCCTGTACCATCCAAGACCATCCCACAGGCCGACAGGGTGACTCGGGCAACGAATGGACTGACCGAGGGTCGCAGAGCTCCTAGCCCACAGCTTAGCTGTCTAGGCCGTGCTCACCACCCACAGACCACTGTCACCTTACCGAGGGTGGGAGGGTAGGTTCCCTAGCCTGGGAGCCAGGTTTTCTCTGGGCAGGAGTCTACCCAGTAGTTGCCATCACGCGCTTGTGGATATCAAGTGTTTTGTACTTTTTCATTTTTTTATTTTTACTTTTTCCTAACTCATGATCGAGCTTATGCCTGCCCTAGAGAGAGAAGCACCCCATAGAGCCTGGTGGTGCTGCGATCCAGCCCTCCAGCCCTCCGGCCCATCAGATCTTGGGCACTTGTGAGCATGCCCAGCATGTCCCAGGTAGACCTGGATAGGATTTGGATCGTGGTGATTTGTGGGATGAGGCTTGTCCTGAGTTGTACATTACCGCTGTGCCACAGAGTCGGCCCTAGACTACACTGCTCAGTACTGACCATAGGGGCCAGCAGATGGCCTCATGGTTACGTTACTGGACTCCCACATGGCCAACTGTGGTTCAAGTCCTGGACCTGGAGGGTTGAAACTCAGGCCAGGCACATGTGTGTGCATGCCCAAAATCCTGAGAGGAGACTGTAGGAGAAGGGATTGCGGCACGGCCATTCCCCCAGGGAGGTTATTTCTTGCTTTCTGTCTCCCTGGCAAGCACACATGCCCCATAGCAAACATCTCTAACAACAACAATAAAAAGAACTGACCACAGAGAAGACCAGGGTCTTCTCGGTTAGTAACCCAGCACTCTGGAGCCTGCTTCGGTTTTAATGTCTCTCCACTGCTTCACCACAGTTGTCCTAAAATCCTTCCTCCTGTTAGGCTAAAGCTGGCATGCCTCGCTCTTCCTTCCCTCCCTCCTTTCTTTCTTCCTCTCTCTCTCTCTCTCTCTTTCTCTTTTTTCCTTTTTTTAAGATGCATGCATTCAGGGCTGGCAAGTGGCATGGTGGTTAAAGGCACTGGACTCCCACATGGCCGACCACGGTTCAAGTCTCGGACCTGGTGGCTTACTTTCTCTCTTCCTCCTGCTCTCTTTGTCTCTCTCTGATCAAACTGGAAAATAATAATGATAATAATAATAAATAAAGTTAAATAAAATAATTCTTAAAAAAAAAAAGATGCATGCATTCACCTGCGAGAGAAAGAGAGACGGAAAGTGAGAAATCATCCCCTGCAGGAGAGATGGCCATGCCACAACCCCTTCTCCTTCAGTCTCCTTTCGGGACTTTGGATCCACGCGTGCACACACACACACACCTCCACACACTCTGCATGGTTTTCAAACTGCTGGGTATGGGAGTCAAACTTTTGTCTTTGGCCATGTGGGATCCAGTGTGTTAAGTACTATGCCATTGGCAGGCCCCAGCATGCTGCAGTCTTT